AAATGTATATCATATTCCACAATTCTTCTTTTAGGGGGAATGAGTGTGTTGTAGAAAATAATCTAAATACAATTTTCCCTCCAAAGAAATATGTCACAGGGTAATTTCTGGATTTCCATTTACTGAGAGACTGACAAGGAGGAGGCTCAGCATGTTTATTATGTAGGTTTAAACATCAAAAGGATTTATTGTAAGAATGCTTCTTCAAGATAAACAAAACCAAAGTTGTGGGTAAAACAGTCCCATTAGGGCTTATCAACTTGCAGCCATAACTCTTTACCTCTGGGCAGCTGGTTTTTGAATCCAAGGCTATTGAACTTATAAATTTTGTAGCTAGCACAGAATCTCCTATGAGCAGTGCCTATCACCATCAAATGGGCAGTTTTTGATGGGCAGCTTCACACTGAGAAAAAGGGGAGGTGTTGCCCCTGTCTTGGGGCAATTTAAAGTAATTATTCATTCACCATTCCCAGCACAGAATCAACGTACACAGGATCAAAGCACTGGAGGCATGGTTTTCAGGCATATATTTTATATCTGGCAAATAGAGTGTCTATCTATTTTTCATCATGCATCAATACATTCATGCATTTACATCTTTATTATTTTATGTACTACTTCCAAAGATGATTAATGATAATGATGAAGCTAGCAGTAAAGAAAGGTAACATATACAGAAGCCCTGGATGAAAAGCCTAAAGCAAGTGAGTGAAAATTTGATGCGCAAACTAGCCCAAACCCCCTTCAGTAAATGAGGTTTTACAGGAGCACAGACCCACCCTCTATTTTCATGTTGCTTCTCCCCATTTTTAAGCTACAACAGAAATGAGTATTATAGTTGCAAAGAGATGATATGGTCATAAACCAAAAATATATTATCTCAGGGGTCCTACTTGGAACATGATAGAGAATCAACCCAAATTTTGAAAACCAGTAAATAAGCAAAAAAATTCTGTCTTTCCTATGTGAACTGGACATTAAGTTAACCAAATATTTGAGAAAGAAAAATTTCTCTTTAAAGCAGTATTTTGACTAGTGTATACTGAATAACTGAAATGAAGTAGTCAATTGTCTAGGAATGACTATAAGTCACAAAAAGATAACCAAAGAGACTTAATGTCTAAGAAGCAAAATCCATATGATTTATTTATTAAAAAAAAAGTACCTAGATCAGTCCAGCCTCCAAGTCTAAATACAGATTTACTAAAATAAAGAAGACAGAGAAAAATATGAAACAATTTCTTCACAATGTAGTCATCAAAATCCAGGTTCCAGAAATCTATTTTCTTAAACAAATAAATATAAGGGATAATAAAAGAAAATCTAAAAGCCTCCACCGGAAGACTGCTAGAATGAATAAATAAATTCAGCAAAGTAGCAGGTTAAAAAAATCAACATACAAAAATCAGTAGTTTTCCTGTACAATAATAGTGAATCTTCCAAGAAAAAAAATTCAAGAAAATAGTCATATTCAAAATAGCTTTAAAAATAAAGAAAGTGCCTAGGAATAAGTAGAACCAAGAAGACGAATACCTCTGCAATGAAAACTATAGAACACTGAAAAAGAAACTGAAGAAGACAAAAGAAGATGAAAAAACCTCCCATGTTTATGGTCAGGAAGAAATAATATTGCTACAATATCCATATTATCAAAGGCAATATACAGATTCAATGTAATTTACCATCACAATGCCAATGATAATCTTCACAGACCTAGAAAAGATAGTTCTAAAATTCATTTAGAAATATAAAAGATCCAGAAAAGCCACAGAAATTTTAAGCCAAAAGAGCAATTCTGGAGGCATCACAATACCTGACTTCAAATTATCCTACAGATCTTCTCCTTAACAAAGGCAACAAAAACATACTTTGGATAAAAGACAGTCTTTTTTCCAAATAGCGCTTGGAAAACTGGTTACCCATATGTAGAAGATAAGACTAGATCCTTGCCTACAAAAACATCAACTCAGAATGGATCAAACACCTGGGAATTAGACCAGAAATTCTGCAACCAGAACAATACATGCATACCTATGTTTATAGCAGCACAATTTACAACAGTCAAATTATAAAATAAGTATAGTATTCATCAACAGATGAATGAAAAAAGAAATTGCTGATATGTACAAACAATGGAGATTGTTTTTTCAGCCATAAAGCAGAATGAAATTATGTCATTTGTAAGAAAATAGATGTAACTTGAGAAAATTATGTTTAGCAAAATCAATCAACCTAAAACCTCCAAAATAACCCAACCTCAGAAACTTCAGGGTTGATTATTTTCCTTCATGCGGAAGATAGAAAAAAGCAAAAAAGAGGTGGTGGTGAGAAATCTCAAAATCAAATGGAGGTTAGTAGAGAAATAAGGGGAATAGGGAAGGCCAGGGAGGGAAAGCAAGGAAATACTAGAGAATGATACTGGTCAAATTAGATTATTATATCATGTGTATGTATGATATGTAATAACAAGTCCCACCATTATGTATAATTATAATATACAAATAAAATATTTTAAAACTGTACCCTGAAGAAAAATCAAGGAAAATAAAAATCAGTAGCAGTGATGAAGCCTACAGATTAAATGAGACATAAGAGATCTATTGATAGGTCATAATGAGTAGACCATTTTTGAATTTTGTTGAAAATAAATTATTAATATGAATACTGACTACATACATGTTGGCATTGGAAATTTTTTTGCTAATTTTGATGAAGTTATCATAAAATTATTAAAATTAAGTTTTAACAGTTCTCATCTTTCAAAGACATATATCAAAATATTTAGAGTGTAATGTTGTATCTCTGAGCAGTTTCAGAATAATGCAGTAGGGAGAAGTTTGGAATGGATGTAGAACTATTTCTCAGCACATGTTAACCTTGAGATGGGTAATTGATATATGAAGATTCATTGTAATTGTCTCTGTAATATGTATATATATGCTTGAAATGTTTCATACTATGATCCCCTGCACTGAAAACACACATTTCATAATGAAAGGTTAAGATGTTTTAAATATTCCTAGCCTTGAATTTATTAAAGAAGCTTTAAATTTTTCTATTTAAATTATTAATTTTTATTTAAATATTAAATTCAGTTAGAGTACAAGTTGTAAAATTTACTTTGAAAATTATGTTGTTATGATAAAGAATTTACACTATAATACTTTTTTAATGAATAAAACTTCTTACTTTTATTGCCTTTGTTCATATGATATATGGTAGAGCCAAAGACCACAGGGTAGCTAATTCTGAAGCAAAGAAGAACCTTCAGACAACTAATTAATTAACCTCAATTTACATAATGGTCTTAGTATTTGCATAGCTAATGGGCTAGGGATTGATTGCAGGCCATTAACAGTTATTAGTAAATGAAACTATGTTTGAAAAATATGAGTTCGTATTTCAAGTTTTAGGGGCAAAAGTCAGTTATGAGATGTTAACAAAATTCAGAGCATCAGGCATTAAACAAACTAACATTTAGCTTTATAGACTTCATGCATTTCTGAAAGGATAATTCTGAATGTGCTAATTGATCTCACCTCTATGCATACAGAGGCACAAACAAATATACATGTATACGTTAGGTAAACTTTCATTAGCCTTACAATTATATTTAAATTACAGTAATGGGAGCTAGTTTTGTTATATTTAACTATAAGAACTTCCTATATCTCTATTCCTAAAAATCACAGGTTTTTCTCAAGAAATGCCACATTCTACAACCTAAATATTCAACAAAATTTTTTTCTAAAGCTTTTCAACTATTTCAAAGGAACATTACAAAATTTTCAACTAATCTTTTCCATTTATTTGTATGTGCAATGTTATATAATTTAGAGCTACCCTAACATTTTGTCAACTTGTTTAAACAATTCAATTTACAAGCTGAAGCATCCTCTGTATTTATATTTAAAAAATTATGCATTTTAATGATTTTAAAGCTTAAAAAATGTGGTCTGTTATTTTGAAGGAATTTAATTCTGCCAGTATGCATTCTGACTGAAAACAATTTGAATCCTTTAATTTCAAAGACACATTGTATATAAGCTTTTTTTTTTCAAATGATCAGATAGTACTTTCACAAGCAACTATACAGTTCCCTCAACTTGTTCAATAAATAAGGTTTATAATAAATAAAAAAATTACCTTTATCCAATTATTTGCAACATCTTTTAAATTTTGTGTCAGTGCCTTTCACAAATAGACTTTCACTTGGTTTACTGTGTGGGTCAACTATATTTCACTGAAATGTTGAGAAAAGATTTTAGCTTCACAAAGCAGTCTTAAACTCCAACTCTTCATTTACTGTCATTTTTTTTAAAGTTCCACTGAAACTTTCTTGTGTTTGCAAGATGGGGTTAAAATTTTTTCATTTTATAGAGATGGGTGTGGATTAAATATGATGTTACATGTAATTTGTGATTATTGTTAGTCACCGATTTAAAAATGTTTTTCCCTTTGCTTTAAGGAAATATGTAAGTACAAGAAGCCACCTGGTGGGGCTGGGGTTGTGGCTCAGTCATGGAGCTCTTCCCTATTATGTGTGAGGCACTGGGTTCGATTCTTAGCACCACATATAAGTAAATAAAAGAAAGGTTCATTGACAACTAAAAAAATATTAAAAAAAAAGAAGCCACATTGTTCAGGCAATGTCTAGTAAATACACATCCATTATAGTTTATGTTTTATATGCTTATCCAGGGTCTCTCCAATGAATTAAGAAAAAGGTTTATTATTTAATATATACTGATAATAATGGTATTTTAACAATATCACATACATAGTTTGAAAACAGTATTTTACTGCCTTGACATTTCAAGAGTATGAAACCTCTCACAGAATTGCCATATACCAGCTATTAAAATGAATGATAATCATTTCCAGGTATTAATGATATTCCTTTGTTCTCTACTGAGAAATTTATTTACATATATATTTAACTAGAATATCAGCAGAAACACTATAAAATTCGTGTCAAGCTCTTAAGTAATATAACTCACTTTTTGAAGGAACTCGGAGATTGGCGAGGACCACTTCCAGGGAATCTGCTTGGACTCGAAGCACATAACTTGTTCTTGTTTCATAATCCAGGGGGGCATTCACATAGATGACACCTGTGATGTTATTGATTCCAAACTTACCTAGAATTTAAAATACAGTTACTAGTCATTTCCTTCGAATTTGCAAGGAAATAATTCTCTTTAAAAGATAGTATGGTTTCAAAAACACTTAATTGTAGCAATTATAAAGTGTGAAGTATGAAAGGGATAAGGCACCAGCTTTGGAAACTATATTCCAACCCTGGAAATAATAGACATCAGTATTTCCCCAAATGATACCTTGATATTATAATTAATTATGTGTGTTGTTTTGAGATTCTTCTGGATATCAACGCTCCTGTGGTCTTTATGCTTGAAAAGTGGTGTATAATATGCTACTCACCACCACAGGTTCAGATGGTCTTCTACAATAGTAAAACATTTTAGATACGTCTTTTAAAAAAAACCATTTAATTTTGCTTCACCAAATATTTTCTGGTTTTCCTAATAACTATACTTTCAATAATTTAATGGACCTTACTCTATGGATTAGTGGTCTGCTAAGAACTTCTCAAAGAACAAATGGGTTATTTAATATGTAGGTTATATTTTCAAATTACTTATGATTCTAATTATCTTAAATATTTTCATCTGATTTCTATATTTTATAAATTTGTATATATGCAAATATATAAATATATTTTTTAAAGTGAAAAACACAGAACATTTTTCAGTTTATAATGCTGCACCTTTTGGATTCTCCACATCCTTTCCTCACTTTTCTCCATATCACTTATGACCCTCTAAAATATTACATATTTATACATTTGATAATTTTTATTATCCATCACCTCTCATTGGACTGTTAAATCCTATGAGTGTAGGGATCTATTTTGTTTACTGTTCTATCCCTACAGGCTGAAAGAAAAATTAGTCCATAATAGATGTATAATAAATATTTGTTGAATGAAATAACAAATGAATTAAATGTAAAACAGTAACTTCGAAGGATAGATGATAATAAATAGAATCATATTGCTATCTTCAAAGAAAAAAAACAGATGGAAGTAGAGAGGAAAAGTGTTGTAACCAATTGAAGGACTACAGCTTTAGTTAGATGCTGGAAGTCCAATAAATAAATTAAAAAATAAATAAATAGGAAGCTCATTTTTTACCTAGGCGGGAGGCATAAGGGCATAATATTAGCAAAAAAAAAAAAAAGAAATGCAATGAGGAAAGTTAAGATGTTGAGCACTGGCTGTAGGGGCAACACTGTCTAGTAATAGTGAGGCACTGGCAATTTCATTGGTTTATTGTGAAAACACAAGCTAAAAATCAACTCACCTTCTTCATTTCCTGAAACAATAGAATACACAATGCTTTGATTGATGGCTGCAGCAGAAATTACACCAACTGTGGTTCCTCTGGCTGCAAGTTCACTTACTGGAGGAGGTCTGTAAATTTAGAGATAGCAATTTATTTATTTTAAGATTATTTTTGAAAGTAATTTAGGTTCACAGAAAAATTGAGGGGAACTTAAAAGATTCCCCCCATATACCTTCTGCTCCTATAAGTACATAGCCTCCTCCATTAACCTCATCCCATGTTACAGTGCTACTTTTGAGACAGTTGATGAAACTGGATTACATGTCATATCCACCTCAAATCAATAGTTTACTTTATGTTTTAATTTTGGTGTTATATATTCTGTGGTTTGGACAAGAGTTTAATGAACAATATTCACCATTATAGTATCATACAAAGAATTTTTACTCCCCTAAATACTCTTGGCACTTCACCTATTTGTTCAGTCCCTAACAAACACTTATCTTTTTTGTAGGTCCAGTTTTGCCTTCTCCAGAAACGTTATAGAGAAATGGACTCATAAAGTATGGAGACTTTACAATTGAAATCATCCTGTACAGCCACTATTCAGATTCATAATATGAACCTAACCTTCTTCTTCATCTTTTCATGGCTTGCTACCTCATTTATTTTACAGCTGAATAATATTATATGAACTAGAAGCACTGAAGTTTATTTCCATATATGAAGAAGCCTTTGTTGGTTCCATGTTTTGACAATTGAGAATAAAGGTGCTATAAATATCAGTTTACAGGGTTTGTATGGCCATAAATTTTCAACCTCTTTGGGTAAACACAGAGGAGTATGACTTCTGGATCATATGGTAAGATTTGGTTTAGTTTTTAAGAAACTGACCAAGTAGATATACAGATTTTTGTTCTTTTCATTAATGAGAGTTCCTGTTGCTCCTTATTCTTACCAACATTTGTTGTTGTCAGTGTTCAAGATTATGGCCATTCTAAGAGATGTGTAGGAGTATCTATTTATTTGGAATGATAAGAGTTTTGATTTTAATAATAGAGTGTATGTAATATTATACATATGCAAGTTTATTTGAGTAATACCACTATCTGGTACTTCAGAGAAAATACCATATTACAACTTCAAATCTAAAAATGATGTTCAAAATTATGCAAATGATCCTGGTTAGAATGTCTTATAATATATATTATTTTAATTAAAATAAAACATAATATTATTCTATTATCTGTGATAGTACATAAAAAATTATTTTCAATTTCCAAAGTAACTTCTGGACTGAAAACAATAGTTACATGCATTTGCTAACTCAAATTTTTGAAATAAAATGTTGCTCTTGTGTTCATATTTAAGCATATGGGCTTCATATAATTTTTTTCTTATCCTAATCCTGATCTACTATAATTTTTTAACTATATCAAAGTATTTGAATGGATAGCATAACAAAATTCACATTTCCTTTTAATTCATTTATTTTGCTTAACTGTAGACATTATTTCTCTAGTAATTTGGTATCTATATGACTTCAAAAATATTCATTAATACCTTATCTCATTTTCAAAATATGATTTTATAAATTGGTTATCATAAGTAGGCTATCATAACTATCTTCATAAATTTATACCATGCAATCATTCTCTATAATTCACAATAATTTAATGTCATCCATTTTTGATAGATTTAAAAAAGGATTACTTATCGGTCCTAGCAACATTTCTTCATCTTTTTTCTATTCCAGTTACTATAACCCATCTGATTTCTGTAAGATTAACCTCTGGCCTCAATCTTTTTTTTTTATATGAAGTGGAATACATTACAATTCTTATTACACATATAAAGCACAATTTTTCATATCTCTGGTTGTATACAGTATATTCACACCAACTCATGTCTTTATACCTCTACTTTGGAAAATAATGATCATCACATTCCACCATCATTAATAACCTCATGCCCCTCCCTTCCCTTCCAACCCATCTAACCTATGTAGAGTTCCTCTATTTCTCCCATTTCTACCTATCCCACTATGAATCAGCCTCCTTATGTCAAAGAAAACATTAGGCATTGGTTTTTTGGGATTGGCTAACTTCACTTAGCATTATCTCTCTAACTGTATCCATTTAACTGCAAATGCTCTGATTTTATTCTGTTTTATTGCTGAGTAACATTCCATTGTGTATATATACAACATTTTTTTTCTATCCATTTATCTTTTGAAGGGCATCTAGGTTGGTCCCACAGTTTAGCTATTGTGAATTGTGCTGCTATAAACATTGACTAATAGTGGGATAGGGAATGGGAGCATGGGAGGAATAGAGGAACTCTAGATAGGCAGAGGGGTTGGAGGGGGAGGGAGGGTGCATGGGGTTATTAAATATGGTGGAATGTGATGATAATTACTATCTAAAGTACATGTATGAAGACACGAATTGTTGTGAATATACTATGCATACAACCATAGATACTAAAATTGTGCTCTATATATGTAATAAGAATTGTAATGCATTATGCTGTCATATATATATTAAATTTTTTATATAGAAAAAGAAATTGGATGTAAGAAACTTTTTGAAATCAGATGGGTTATAGTCATAGATTGGAAAATTTTTGAAAAACTGAATTTCTTTCTTGAGGAAGTAGATATTACTTGCCTATTTTGTTAGTGAGATGAGCTAAGTTTGATACATTCAATAGTTAACCTCTTTTTTAGTCTTAATAATATATATACAAATATTTATATATATATATATATATATATAAGATGACTGCTAATAATCTTTTATCTTTAACATAAAATTTCCATTTCATTTTCAAATATTAAAAATAATATTTTGTGTTAATTTTTTTATCCTAACTTCAAAATGAGAATGCAAATATTATCATGGGGTAAAGAAACTGGCATAATTTAGAAGGCATTTAAATCCTATGCATACCACTAAGAGCATTTAAATTTCTATTTGTTAGTGAATGTTTAAAACAGATTTACTTCTAGACAAAATATCTTCTCATTAACCTTTGTCTTAATTGTTGCAGCACACTTCTTTTTATGAGAATAAAAACATACTATAAAAACGCAATTTTCTCCTAGCTAGAATTAAATGAACCTCTCTGATAATGAACATTAGATTGCAAAATCTCAATTCTTTTCTATTTATTGCCAGGAAGACCTATTTTATTATTGTTTTATGCCCTGGAAAGTATCACTTACATTATCGGGCAAATTACATACTCTACTTGGAGTCACATATAATTTGAATGTAAAACGAAGGAGTTGGTGTAAATCAGGGCTATAAGGTCAGATGAACAGAGAAGGTAGAATCAAAACTAAATAAAATAATGTGGGCTGGGTATAAATGAATAGGGAGAATGAAACTAAGGAATGGGACACTGCATAAGTACTATGCAATTATTGAAGCCCAGTGTGATCTTTCCAACTGACAAAGGATATTTAAGTATTTTATATGAATTTTATAAACTATAAAATTTTGGCAATTAATGGACATTTACTTTTTAAAGCATCATGGAATAAAATTTGTTTTATAGGCTGGTAGGTTTTTTTTTAAATAAATGTATCTACTAACACGTTTTCAGTTCTACCATTTTTTTGACTGATAGAATGTGATTTATCATTCTTTCTTTTCTTTCCAGTGAGTATGATCAAAATCTATTGTTTAATTTCAGAAGAAATAATTATGGCCAAATAAGGAGTTTCTCAGAAGACTTAAAAAACAAATATTTCACTATTAATTCACATCCCTGCAATACATTCATTTATAGCATGTGATGTATCAGTAGCCCTCTTCTAATTTAACTGTTTTTTTAAATTTTAATTTGTTATATATGACAGCAAAATGCATTACAATTCATATTACACATATAGAACACAATTTTTCATATCTTTGGTTGTACACAAAGTAGAGTCACACCATTCATCTCTGCATATATGTACTTAAAGTGATGTCCATCTCATTCCACTGTCTTTTCCTGTCCCCATATCTTCTCTTTTCCCCTCCCTCTGGGAAGATTAGATGAATTCTAATTTAACTTTTTAATGCTTGACTCAAAATGAAAAGTTACTGTGTCTCTGAAATTCAAGAATACCAATTTTCAAAACTAAATTTATTGTTGGTAAGACTCACAAAAAAGTACACAAAGTTAAAGAAGCACTCGAAACAGGGTTCATATGTACTCACTGAATTGGAATAAGATTTAGTTTATGGAATGTTTTGTCTTCTATTTCTATAAGATTAAAACATCTCAAAAAATAAAATAAAAAAATAAAAAATCATAAAAAATAATTTGTAATTGTGAAAAATAAAAGAACTATACAGCCAAAGATTCAATATATCAAGTAAATGGTATACCAAAGTAAACTATATGTCTTTAACAGATATGGACATCCAATACTAGAAAGACCAATGGTTTCAGGCCTTCAGGAAAGACCTTCATTATAAGGTCTTTCATAAGACATGCTCTAAATTGGGTGTGATGGCCATGTGCCCTGGAATATCTTGAAGAGAAACACTTCTAACTCCCTAATGGCAGCTCTGAATTTTATTGGCTATTTTAAACCAAGTTGACAGTTTTTCACAAAAATTCTGAAATCACCTTAATTAATTCTTACAGACAAGCTTAAACAATGTTTTTATTATAAAACAAACTATGATAGAAAGTAATTTTAAATTTGGTTATCTTGTTCATAATTCTATTTGCATTGTATTGGACTCCCTAAATTTCTATGTAAAACAGCCATATATATTTTTTTTAATTAATAGGCATTATTTTTGTTTTTGTTATTGAGAAAAATATTAGATAATGATAGTTTCATAATGCCTAGCATTTAACTATTTATAAATTCTTCCAGAAAACCTTGATAGCTACTGAATTATTTTTTATTTCCTTCTTATTATCATTTATATTTTAAATGACAATTAAAAGCATAGGTATTTATGTTGCACAACATTTGAAATATATACAATGTGTAGTGACCAAATTAAATTAGTTAAATATAGGGATAATTTCACATATTTACTTCTAGTGAGAATACTTAAAATCTACTCTAAGTAATTTTCAAGTATATAATGCCTTATCATAAACTATAAGTCACCAT